CACCCTCAGTGTTGGTAAACGAGATGCACACCCTCAGTGTTGGTAAACGAGATGCACACCCTCAGTGTTGGTAAACGAGATGCACACCCTCAGTGTTGGTAAACGAGATGCACACCCTCATTGTTGGTAAACGAGATGCACACCCTCAGTGTTGGTAAACAAGATGCACACAGCTCACCTTCAAGGAACAGGCACTACTATCCAATCCACTGCATATGCCTGGGAAATGTACTCTAGATTGTTCAAAGCGTTGCTGAAACTCACTAGGTGTTTCCCTATGTTTTGATTGTATATAGCTCTTGCAAAGATCATACTCGTAGTCCTGGCAAGACTGGTCTTGCTACCTTGCTTCTCAAGAACAAGCTTGAGGCTCAATGAATTATGGTATTTATCTCGTCTGGCAAGGATGCACCCAATGTGTCTTGGGACGGGCCAAAAACGACATCTGGGGATTTTTATTGTCCTCGATCTGTACTTCTGTTTTTGAGTATTGGAACTGGTCTTTAGTAATGGAAAATGATGTGAAACGGGTACATGAGAACACAAGTATGGTTACATACACATATTGGCTGTGTCCGGAATCAGGGGCTGCATCCTTCAAAAAATGTGATCTACGATTTTGTAGGCTGATTTGTAGGCTGCGTTCTTCGCAAGTCAAACAGAAAGCATTGCCATAATGGGACAGTCTGGCCTACGGATAATTTCCTATATGCGTCACCAGCTGTTCCCACCCTTACTCTTGAGTCATGAAGCGCCGCTCCTATCGCCTAGGCAGGACACACCTACTTCACCTCTGCACAATGAATTCTGGGATATGCTGGGCTGCGAAGGATCAAGGATCGTGAGACTTGGCGAAAGGAGGACACATTGAAAGACTGCATTTAAAGGAGCCTTCGAAATAGGACAGCCTTGCCTCACTGCGTTGACACATTCTGTCTTCGAATGCAGCATTACAATAATGTAGCCCCTCCAAGTTTGCTGAATCCTAAAAGCCCCAACTCAGATCAGTACAAGCCAATAAACAAGAGGTGCAAACAGACTGTAAAGCAGGGGTGGCCAATCTTATCCGCAAAGGGCCGGTGTGTATGCAGGTTTTTGGGATAACCTGTAGGTCAGCTGTTCAAACCCAGGTGTGAGGACTCTTCAGCCAATCAGTCCTATAATTAGTAATCTAATTAGGGAGTTGCAGCGATAACCTGCATACACACCGGCCCTTTGCGGATAAGACTGGCCACCCCTGCTGTAAAGGGTGAGTGAAAGACATGAAACCACAGGCATATATCCTGCTACTTACATTTATATCGATTCTGCACACACAGCATGTGTTCAGCATTACTGCTTCTTGTATAATATGTGTATGTGCACTGTTTAAATCTGTATGGTCGCAATATGTATGCATGCAAACGGATGGTACATATTATACATATTATTATATTGTTTATTCTAAATATCTTACCGTTTGTTCACTGGATGTCAGAGGTGTGAATGATTAGCAGATGCCTTTAATAGTGCAATATACTTTAATAATACAATCTGAAAATTACATATCCATCCACCTCTGTTATATTTATACTTATGCACCTGCGACAAGGCGCACTGCACTTTAAATACATAGTTCTATCATCATATGCACATGTACAGTTTAAACCTTAAGATTATTTTCTATATTAGAACAACTTCTATATTTCTCTCTATTATGTACAGTACTGTGCAAAAGTCTTAGGCAGGCAAAGAAAATGATGTTTAGATTATCCTCGTGTTGGTGTAAAACTATGATATCATGCCTGTCAAAGTGTGTCAGCGTAGCCATTTCAGAACCTCTGCTAAAATCACCCCAGTATTTGCAGCGACCGTCCAGTGCAGCCATGTATTTTTTGACTTGGCCACTAGCTCACCTCATACAGCAAGTCAATCTGTCACTGACTTTTTAAACCAATTTATTTAATTACTTAATTAAGCTGTTGGTGAAATTGAACAAAGTCATGGAACGGCTGAGGTGCCCCTGAGCAGAGGTTTGGGAACTGAAGCGTGTTCATCTAGCCATCCAACTAGATGTCAGTAACTTTTTAGAAAACAGAAGAAATTATTACTAGTTTTTATTGTGTTACTCTTAATTTGCACATGTTCTAATGTTAAATTGTGTTTTTTGTTCTAAGTAAAGTACACTTGCTACCCAGATAAACAGCTTTAAACATTTCTTTGGACTGCCTAAGACTTACTGTATATATTTTAATTTATTGTAAGATTTTTTTTAACTTGTTGACTTATTCTTATGGATGGATGGATGGATGGACTTATTCCTAATTCTATTTTTTCTATTTTAATTCTATTTTTGATTTGCACAGTCTAAGAGTTGTTCAGTCTACATTTCACTGCATGTTGTAGTTGTATAACTATGTATGTGACAAATAAAGTATCTTGTATCTATTTAATTTAGTTTTATGCTCATTTTCACGATGGACCCGAAGAAACGACATTTCATGATAGTCATAGTGATAGAACACGTTTGTGTTCAGGATCCTTACATGATGAGATGACAATAAAGAATTTTAACATGAACAATTAGATATATCTTTTTATAATAGGGCCAGTTATATGATATACATATGTACACAGTATATGCATATATGGCGGGCATTTCTCAAGCAAAATGTACTGAATACACAGTTAAATTCCTCAGCTGAATAATCACACATATTCCTTGCAAATAACTGATTTTGTTGATTTTAATCTTTCCCCGTAAAGGGTCTGTTTCTTAGCTGGTACTTCTGCAGCATCATACGGACCTCGGCGTCTCCCTGCTTGTTTTCTTTGCGTTGCAACAGCCCTTCATTTTCGAAAAAGGTGCAGTGGACGACTTGGGCAAATATAAACTGTGTATAATAGCAAAAACTATGTGCTATTTAGTGCTAATCTGTGTTTCCCTGTAGTATTTCTTCATGGTTTTCTTCACTTGTATTTCTTCAGCTCTGAACACACCATGACAACTGCCTGATTGTTTTCTTCGCATGCCAGCAGCCCTTTATTTTCAAGGAAGACGGAGTGCACAACTAGCACGATTTTGCTCTCAGTCGGTTGCACTGTGATGTTGGTCATGTGACTGGGATCATGGCAGTGGTGCATGAACACCAGGATGACAGGTTTGTCTTCTGTGAAAGAAAAAAACACAAACAGGTTTTCCTGATCTTTCAATAAAATTGTATATTTAGATGTTTTACGTGTGTCCTGGGGTGTTTTAAAAGTATTTACTGTATGAAAATGTGGTACCAAACATACCCTCACACCTCTAGAGTTTGTTTCCTGCCCCTCATTCTGTGACTTTGCTGGTTCATAAGGGTTTCTTCCCCCAAAACAAAAACATGCAGTTAAGCTAACTGATCTCTCTAAATTGCCGACATATAGTGAATGTGGCCCCTCTGATGAACTACAATCCCATCATGCCCTGTGTTTCCTAGTGTAGGCTCTAGGCTCACCACAATGTTGTACTGGACAAGTGGTCTATAGTGGAAGGAAGGGAATGTTATGAAGGCCAAGGTCCTCTGAACTAAGCAGAACACATATTCAGAGTCCAATCTAACCTGTGTTAGTAAGAGTCTTGGATCAGATTAGACACTGCATAAATTTGTGCAGTGTTTTAGTCAATGCTACTCATAAAACAGTAATATTATTTTACCTACAAACGATCCTGTTTTTCAAAATAAAATGAAGAGCCAAATATCTAGAATGTCACTGGAATAATTTTACAGCCTTGAGTGACTGTCATGTTCATTGTAAAAACTGAGGACTTGGCATATGGATGGATTGTTGATCTGAATTAACTTTCACAGGGAAACTTCTGAAAGGCTGCTTCTTTTGAACCGAAGCTGCTTCTCTGAAGAAACAGACGACACACTGTCTGTCAGTTGTAGTTATTTTGCTTGTTTGTCAGATCCCAGGTAACATACAGCAGAGACTGAATCCTGTCTCACCTGTAACTCTGGCCATTGCTGCCTCCATGTCTGTCCCAATCCGAGAAACAACAGGACAGAAGACCAGGATGATGCTGCTGCTCTCTGCACTGCAGGGCTCTATCTGCAGCTTCAGCTTTTGTATGAAGGTGTCTTGGGTCTGGAAAGTTTCTCCAGCAACCAGCACGTGGACTTTTACTGGGGAAGGGAAAAAGAATTCTAAAAAAAAAAAAGTATATTACTTTAGTTTGTAAATTAATTTAGTTTGAAAATTCTAAAATGAGTTACAATTATCATGAACAGGATGGGTTTTTTCACCTCGGACAATACGCCATACATTAAGAATAATATTAATAATAATCATGATGAAACTTGATGGTCTCTCGGCTGGGTTGAGAACACCTGGGGATTCCCCCGGAGGAGCTGGAGGAAGTGGCCGGGGAGAGGGAAGTCTGGGTGTCCCTGCTGAGACTGCTGCCCCCGCATCCAGACCTCGGATAAGCAGAACAAAGTGGATGGATGGATGGATGGTGACACGATGGTCAGATTTGGAATTTAGTTTGATGAGGCAGATTCACTACACTTTTTGTTGGATTTAACTGAAAATAAATCATTTCAGATAGATGTCAAACCTGACATTCACGAGACAGCTTACCTGGAAAGGCGAGTGTTCTGCGGATGTAATTGTATGTACGACATAAATGATGGAAAAAGGAGGTGCAACAGTGTTCTATGCCTTGCCACATCCAGCGAATACCTGCAAAATGTTTCCATCTTGAGTCAGTTGTAGTACAGAGCAACAATTTATTTAAACATTCACACTGATAAGGATGGAGGAGAATGATTTTGTTGAATTAGACTGAAAATGAATCAATTCAAATGGAATATGTGAAAACTGAGAAGTAATTTAAAATGTAATAGATACCACCAAGGAGGTAAGTGCGTCGATGGTATATACAGCACAGGATGATGCCACCACATACTGAGCGACGCCAAAACGGGTGAATGCCTGCAAAATATTTCCATCATGAGTCAGTTGTAGTAAAGAGCTAACAATTTATAAGCCAGCACACTTATATGGATGGAGGAGAATCTCATTGAACAGGTGAAATTCATAAGCATATGTATAGCAAGGAATCAACTCGATCGGTTGTCAGAAAAGACTTTTCTCTAAATGTACACCCTTTAGCAGACTTTAAATAAAATGCAGGGACATGCCCAGAAATTCAGTTTTACGTATTCAAGGACCCTTGTGTTGTGCTGGGTCTCCTGAATCTATCACAGTATCTGACAGCCCTGCTGAGATGCCTATACAGTATGTGCATTTATAGCAGAAAATAACCAAGCATAACCTTAAATACATAGGCTAGTAGTGAGGACAGTTAAACTTGCTGATTTAAATCCTCCACCTACTTCACTCACAGGTGCCAAAACACATGCACACAAGCACACACACACACACACACACACACACACACACTGAAACAGATTAGGTATCTATATCTTTGTAGGAACTCTCCATAACCCTAATCCCACCTGTGACAAACTTAACCCCTACCCAGCCATAACATTAACCTATAGGTAACCAAACAAAATTAACAAGTTTTGGCATTTTTGGTTTTTTAATCGCATTCACAGATTTTTATAAAATTGAGTTTCTTATTGTGGAGATTGAAAAAAGCCAAGATCAAGGTGAAGATAACGGTATTTATTATATTTTGTGGACATTTACATGACCACACAGACTCAGTACATATTCATTATATACATGGTTTGAATTATGGGGGAGCTAAGGGGTCGATTTTCGGTTCCCTGAAAAAGACACAAGGTTTGTAATTATATCTTTTTGGGGACTCTCCATTCATTCCTATTTGGAAAACTATAATCACAACATGATGACCCTATCCCTAACCCCTACCCAGCCCTAACCTTAACCATACATAACCAAACAAAATAGGAGACTTTCGGTACTTTTACTTTTTTGATTGCATTCACAGATCTTTGTGGGGACCTGAAAATGGTGTAAACATGCATACATGTTCATACAGTTCAAGCAGGAAAGTAGTGTAAAGTCCATAGTGTCCGGCGGCACACTTACCGCAAATTGCGCGAATAAATGATCTAACACATGTACAGTTGAGGATTCCGCAAAAGTACTGCCGAGTTTTCTGAAGCACCTAAAACGAAACCAAACGCATTGACAATTAAGAAACATTAAAATCTCGTCCCAATGTTATCCGGGAGCCTTTGCTTAGCTTATGCTTCTTCAAAAAGTCATGAAACCAACATTTAGTTTTGGAAGATAAAGACGTAAATGGCTGTAACTTCTTCAATTTGATTAGGGAATAGGTTTTAAACGATATCTATCTAAGTTAATGGTAGACTATAGATCAAGTCGTAATGCATTGCACGTTAATCAGATACCGTATGGTCTACTATAAATATAAAAAATGGATTTTTGTTTAGACTTTAATCGCGTTTAAGTTTAGGCGTAGAAAAACAGCGCGCAGTCAGTAATTAGTACTGAAACATAGTTCTATGTTATATAATTACACAGTTATAGTTATAGTGAAATTATAGTTTCAGCAGCCGAGAATTGTTTCATACCATTGTGAACATATCATTCATTACGGACGCTGCTTACCGAATTAATCATGAATGTTTTATATTATTTCTCTTCGTTATTTCCTTATGTTTAGGGAGAGACGTCTTCTGTACGTATGAATGAAAGCGAAAGTTAAATACAGTAGGAACTGAAAGGTCGTCTACGCAGAAGCGTCACGTGCTGCGGTCAGAAAATGTACGTGTCTACATTTAACTGATATATCCGAGATATATATACCCTGATTGACATATTTTATTTGATTATGTCCAGTTCTGCGTTACTGGAACCTCGGACCGTAAAAATGCAGGTGGGAAGAGAAGACGGTAGAAAAAAAAATCGGCTCACCCAGCTATCAGACACATGGATCTCCGCCCAACGTCTGCTGATTCTGCATTTCATTTTCAACACTGTACTGTACTGACCTCCTTATGTACATATTTGCTGATATATTCATAATATACTGCAGGCAGCTCGAGGGTTAATAATGTAAAATAGTTTTAGAGCCCCGATTGTCGTGGCAGCAATGCTCTCCAATCCGATAGATGTCAGTAGACTGAAAACATTCCAATCGACAAAGAACCACAGAAAAAAAATTACTACACAAATATGTCTGCGACCAGTACGCATCACCTGCTGAATGAAGAGGAAGAATTAATGCTATGTTTATGGGTTCTTCTTCAAAGAAAACGGCGCAAACTGAAACGGTTATAGTTCTCTCAGTGTATGTGAACCCCCGCAATGAAGGGGAGTATAGCCGACGTGTCAGACCAGTGTGTCATATTGAGAAAGAGATGCACTTCAAATATTTCCTAATGTACCAGGGTCGATGGTTCACGTGGTGACCTTTAAACTGGTGACAAGCGCGCTCACGCACCAATGTTTACATCCTTGCAGATATGTGGTGTTGGCAGATTCGTCAGGTTTTGAAAATGAAATAAAATTGTAAATATTCGGAATTGTCCGTGCACATATATACTTAAGGTTACTTAAAATATATGCTTGAAGAACAATCCGTTTTCATAAGGAATTCGATCAGTATTCATATATATTAGTGCTCATTGATTGTTTTCGATAATCCCACACCGGTAATAAAATAAAAGCCTCGTTTTAACATAAAAACTAAAAGAACTGATCGCTTTACTCGCTATTAGGCTACATATTGTAGTTGGTTATGGCCGGTATTATTATATCGAAAAGATACAAAACGTGACAAAATTTCTCTCATTCATGATATATAGGCCTATTTATCGGAGTAACAACAGAAAACGGAATGACAAACCCCTTCAGCCGAAAACGGTGCATTTTACTTTTCATTTCAAGTAAAACGCAGGGTTGTCAACTTTGTTCAGATGACTGGAATGAGTGAGTGAGATTGTGGGCTGTGATATGCCGGACCTATCCCCGATATCTCGCTGAAAGATCCCGGTAACCAAAAACAGATCTGCCTTTGCTGAAATTTGATGACTGTCAAGGTATTTGTTTCAATATGTGACTGAATTAACATGTAAGCCAGGGATGGCCAATCTTATCCAGAAAGGACCGCTGTGTGTGTGGGGGTTTTCGCTGCACCTCCCTAAATATATTACTAATTAGAAGCCTTACTGGCTGAAAAGTCCTCACACCTGGGTTTGAACAGCTGATCTAAAGGTTATCCCAAAAACCTGCATATACACTGACCCTTTGTGGATAAGATTGGCCACCCCCTGTTCTAAGTGATCACATTGCGCATCACTTAAACCACCCATTGCTTTTAATTGCATCAATTTAATTTGTTGTATTTGTCACCAGTAGCCAAAATCTAAAAAGGAATAAGTAATTAATTATACACACAAAACTATTAACCCCAGTAATTGCAATCAATTCGAAAATACCTACACTACAGGACAGAAGTTTGGGCCCAACCTCAGATGTTTGTTTGTTTTTTAATGGTACACTGCTTTGTCAAACTTTTATTACAAGAAAATATTATAAATGCTTAAAACAAATATAAATGACTGGTTTTCAATATTTCATAGCCTGTAGTAAATATTTAGCCACAAAGGCTGAAACTGTTGGTTTTGAAGAAGACATATCAGGTCTGTTTTTAGTGCATTTTCGTGTAATAAAAGTTTGACAAAGCAGTGTATCGTTTATTTATTTTTTTTAACTTGAGGGTGGGTCCAAACTTCTCCCCTGTAGTGTATGTATGCTATATATGACACATAGTCAATGTAGGCTTTACAAAATATGTTTTGTCATCGGCTGTTGCCACGCCTGTTGCTCATTTGTCCTATACCTGTTGTTCCTGCCCTCATGTTAATCATTCACAACTTCCTCGTTAGCCTAGTATTAAAGTATTTAAGTGTTACCTAGTCTAGTCCTTCCCAGATTGGTTATTAGCGTTGCTCACCAGTGTTTGCCCCTGCGCTGCCTTTCTCAGCTTTCCCAGTTTGGGTTACTGGCAATCATGTTTTTTTTTCCTGCTTTACACACCTCAGTTTCTTAAAGCCCCTTTTGTTTGCCCACAGCTTCTATTTCCATGTTCTTAGTGCTGCTGGTCATGATAGAATGACCGACCTTGGCAAACAACCCAGCAGCTGTATGAGGATCTCTCTGAGGTCATGCTACCACATCCAGACAGTGAGATTGCCCCCAGAGTGTATGTGACGTGGAGTGAGATCTGCCGGCGGCTGCAGGGGTGGAGTATAAACTGACTGCAGCCAAGTCGGACAACTTCTACTCCTCAGAGTCTGCGAGACCTGACTGCAATGGCCACACTGCCAGAAGGGTGTAGATAAATCTATACAAATATCACCTGCATGCACATTACTTCTTTTACAATAACCAACTCCTGATCCAAACTGTTAGCAGTGGAAAAAATAAACTATTGTTTATAGTGGCCCTGTGTAAAAAGATAGCTGCCAGGAAAAAGATCAAATACACGTATTTCAAGGATTCAAAACTTTTACTGTCATGTACAGAGTACACTGCAATTTTTACTTGAATGCCTTCTTCACAGACTGGACGATTAAACAAATAAAGCAGTGCAACATTACAGTAACTAACAATAAATAAACCACTAACTTACGTGTACCATTAGAGCATTTATGTAATTTATTTAAACTTTATTTTACCAGGTAATTGACTGAAAACTAGTTCTCACTGCTTTCCGTGATATTCGGGAGACGCATCGGAACTTCCTGGGATACAAACCTCATGCATGTAACTAAACTCTTCAGCCAATAAGGGCAAAGTTGTGTCGTCACAGAGGCGGCTCCAGTTTGTGCAGCCGGCTGAGAGGTGCTGCACGAGCTGTCTTAAGTCGTCTTGCTCTTGCGAGGTTTTTGTACCATTTGACATGGTGACACGTGGTGACGTTTTGCAGCGCTGGCTGAAGTCGGACAAAAAAATCTAACCAAGATGCATTGCGTCAGGACCAGAATGCATTGCTTTAAGCCAGCGCTGTAAACGGCTGCATGAAGTTGAATGCAACCAATGACTTGGAGGAGCCAGAAGAAGCCTGAGAGTCCTTCATCTTGTGGGGAGATCAGCCGGTTCTGGAGTCTGACATGCTCTGGCGTTAGATGATCATCTCAGATGATGAGATGCCGGACTCTCCGCCTCCCGACTGCGAGCTCAGGGAAGCCACCCAGCTCGCAGCTTCTCCGCTGTGTGTAGCCGCTCAACCTGCTGTATCTTCGCCTTGTGAAGTCACTCCGGTTCTCATGTGTCTCAGGCAGACAGTATTATGCCCCTCCAAGGCCTGTATTGGAGGCTTGTGGAGGACCCCCTAGTGCCGGCATTTTCCACAGTGGTCACTGTAATGGGCCAGATTGACCAGGAACTGGCAGCCTTTTCCCCAACCTCACACCCATGGGAGGTGCAGCGGATAGTGGATGAGTTACGGGAGGTGCACCCTCAGTCACCTCAGAGGGAGGGAGGCGAAGGCAGAAAAAGCAGACAGAGCTCATCTTGGAGCCGACCTCACATGATCGATCACTCACTCACTCACTCACTCACTTTCCTTTATTAACCCTGAAGGAAATTTAGGATTTACCTTGCGTTCATTCTCAGCAACATGTGAAACAGCGCCCCTGGAGTCACACTTTACAACGGTCACAAAATAAGGTGCCACACTTGTTGTGTAAAACCATTTTCCAGATGGTAGTAGAGAAAAGAATCCATGTAGTGGGTGGGAAGGGTCCTTTAAAATGTTTATGGCTCTGTTGTAGCAGCGGGTCTCGAAAATGTCTTTTGGGGGGGTAGGGGCACACCGATGATCTTCTCAGCTGCTCTCATTATCCGCTGAAGCGTGTTACGGTCCGAGACGTTACAGTTCCCGTACCAGACCGTGATTCAGCTGCAGAGCAGGCTTTCGACGGTGCCGGTGTAGAATGTGGTGAGGATCGGTTGGGGGAGGCTCGCTCTCTTCAGCCTCCGCAAGAAGTGCAGATGCTGTCAAGCCCTCTTGGCTATGGAGGTGGAGTTGAGGGACCAGGAGAGGTCCTCGGTGAATTGGACATCCAGGAACTTGGTGTCCTTCACCCTCTCAACCACAGCGCCGTCGATGGTGAGAGGTTGGTGAGCAGTGCTGGATCTCCTGAAATCGATGATCATTTCTTTGGTTTTGTCTACATTTAGAGAGGTTGTTGCTCTTACACCACTGAGCCACTCTCGTGTGTAGTGTGAAGAGCAGTGGACTGAGGACACAGCCCTGTGGCACACCTGTGCTCAGGGTGATGGTGTTGGAGGTGTCGGTGCTGATTCTGACTGACTGTGGCCTGTCAGTCAGGAAGTCTAGTATCCAGTTAACCAGGGGGGTGCTGAGGCCCAGCCCGCTCAGTTCCAGAGACAGTCTCTGAGGGATGATGGTGTTAAAAGCTGAGCTGAAGTCGATGAACAGCATCCTTATGTGAGAATCTCTCTTTTCCAGGTGTGTTAACGACAGGTGAAGCACAGTGGATATTGCATCATCAGTTGACCGATTGGGGCGGTAGGCAAACTGGAGGGGGTCCAGCGTGCTGGGTAGGGCAGCTTTGATATGATTCATGACCAGTCTTTCAAAGCACTTCATGATGACCGGAGTGAGGGCCACAGGACAGTAGTCATTGAGGCAGGTCACCGCTAATTTCTTTGGGACTGGTATGATAGTTGTGGTCTTGAAGCACGCTGGAACAATGGTCTGAGTGAGGGAGGTGTTGAATACGTCGGTGAGGATGACGGCCAGCTGGTCAGCACACTCCTTAAGCACTCGCTCTGGGATGTTGTCTGGACCAGCAGCTTTCCGTGGGTATTTAAGTGTTTCCTAGTCCCGTCCTCCCCAGATTGGTCATTAGTGTTGCGCACCATTATTTGTCCATGCTCTGCCTTCTCAGCTATCCCCATTTGGATTCCCAGCAATCCTGTTTGTTTTCTGTTTTACACTCCTCGGTTTATTAAAACCACTTTGTTTTCTCACAACTTCTGTTCCCATTTTCTCTGTCCTGCTGCTCGTGACAGTATGAGCATTTTGATAGCATTGGTGGAAACAAATAGAAAATTTGGCAGTTCATTTTTACTTGAATGTATTATTTATCCATAACCATGTCAGAGTTTTGTTTCTCTATAGAGACCATTCAGGCTGAGAATCATGATATAAATAATTGAGTTGAGAAAAAAGGTGGTGCATTGGTTAGCACTGTTGCGTCACACCTCTGGGACCTGGGTTCGAGTCTCTGCCTGGGTTCCATGTGTGTGGAGTTTGCATGCTCTCCCCATGTTGTCGTGGGGTTTCCTCTGGGTACTCTGGTTTCCCTCCCCTGCAGTCCAAAAACATGGTGAGGCTGATTGGAGTCACTAAATTGCCCATAGG